ACAAATACTAATTTTGCTAGATCACGTGCAGGTAATCTCTACTTCTCATTGATGTCTGCAATACATATTTGTGTTCGATTGGGTCATGCATTAAAAATGTCACATGCATCAGGCAGATCTGGAGCTAGTGTTCCCTCTTTTGCCAGGACTGTAATGACCAGCCCACTCAGCTTCAGCATTTGGGCTCCAGCTCAATTTCCCTGTTGTGAACATGTTTACCTGTGAATTCCTGTGCAGTTTACACGGGGTCTTTGAGGTGAACAACTGGATATTCATTAGGCCTATGGTTATACAGAGTGTGTATAACCATAATGTAAAGTTTAGAACTCCACTGTGTCAAGGGACAAGCCTATTTTTGAACCAGTGCTACAGCCTGAGACCATGATTGTCTACAATAAGGAGTTCCTACAACTATTATTTTCTTCACACCATTAGAAAAAAGTACAGTGGCTTTTACACACATCAGCAAGTCTTCTGTTACCATCCATGTGCATGTTCTTAGCCTAGAGAAAATGTGAGGTGATTGGAATTAATTAAAGAGGGTTTACACTTTCTGTTAGCTCATAACTCAAAATACCATATGTCTACAGCAGAGCAAAAGGAGAAGCATAGAATCAGGAGAGTAACATGGGTCAGAAGATACAGTGCCGTTTTTTCAAGTATTTACACCATAAGTCACTTGTATTACTACATTAACTTACCTTGGTTAATGGAAAAGTGCAGGGAAAATTCCCTGGAACTGCTAGAAATTTTGTCACAAACATGAAACTGATTTAGATTTCAGATTTTATGAATTGTGTATGTGTCTGTAGAAATCAACTGATCCCTTAAAAACTTAAGTACCTACAGATACATTTTATCCATATTAAAATTTATGTCATCTAAAATCGTTGGTATAAAAGGTGATAGGGAGTAGAAGCTATAGTCTTTGGTTGAAGCTGTCAGGCACTCTCATGGGTTGTTGGTTTTTTTTTGCTTGGCACAAAACTTTTTGACCTGTATGTGCTAATTATTAGGATTTCTCACATAAGTAGAATAAAAACTAGGCTTAGTTCAAGCTTCAGAAGCCTCAGGCACTGTCTTTCATTTGCCAGTTTCTAGCTATTATGTATTAGAAATATATGAAGAGCTATGGGAGAAAGGTGTAGTTGGATTTATTTTACTCTATTCTAATGCACCTTTACAGAGGTTACTGAAGTTGGAAGAGGTCAAAAAATATGGGGTGATAACGCATTTTCTACCAGACGACTGATACTGACAACCCTATTTCACATTGTGCTATTCATTATATGTTAAGGTAGGAAGGACTTTCCTCAAGTAGGTACTGCTTCAAGTATAGTCTAGTAAAAGAAGAAAATATATCACAGACTCCATGACACACAAGAACCCTATTGCTTATTATTGCTCAGGTCAATCCATAGGACTTCATCCTTTATCTCCTTTTTCCAAGAAGGAGTTTCTAGTCCTGGTTGATTATGTATGGGAAGAAACTACTACCCGCCCCAGGTTGCTTTAGTGTGCTGTTTTCAGAGCCTCCAGGCAACGCATTACAACAAAGGAGAGAGATCCTAGTTGTGCCCTTCCACTACAGTTTAAATTACATGAACAGAGAAATGTTTGAACGGACATCAGTGTCACAGATGCCAGTTGTCTGATTTATTCCCTCTCAGAGGAATGTACTGGCGTCTGTGTGCATAGTAACACCTTGCCAGCTGGCCAGGAGGTGACATCAGCTGTCCTTTCAGACAGATGAATTGCACAGTGTGCATAGATGCCTGCCAAAGGACAGACTTTCCAGGAGAAGGAGAAGGAAAAAGCACTTCATGTATTTCTGACAGTGGTTTTTACTTAATATTTGTTTACAGGATTAACTTTATTGGACCAGCTTATCACCAAAGCCATCTCTCTGGCACTGCAGTAAGTTACTTGGATTGCATGCCATAAAGCGCAGCAATTCACATACAAGTTTACATTCTCTCTGATGTTGCTGAGTGGAGTATATTTTTCTCAGTGTGGTCATAACACTGCATGGGCAATATGATCTTACTTAATCTCCTTTTTTATAACCCTAGATCATTCAGCCAAAATAAATATCCCTACCTTTAGGCAACTAAATTGAATAGCTGGGTTTTGTAGCCTATGCAAATGAGCTGAGCACTCATAACTTTAATTGATACTCATCCATTTGTGAAACTATGCAACAAGGCCTCAGCTGGCTTTAGGGGACAGATTTGTTAAAACCACCACAGTTTACATGTTAGTACCAGACAAGGAGCTAGCAATGCTGGTGTACCGGTTCATAACGCTTTCTATAAAAGAATCCCAAATGAGGTCTGGGACTTCACTTTATGACAATCTGAGAATCTTATGCGATTTAATCATAAAGTGAGAATTTGTTTGCAGGGTGAAAATGCACACTTCAATGTGTAAGGAAAAGAATGATAAGAATGATTATTTGGCTGAGGTTGAATCAAGCTGAATCACTAGGAAAGGATAAATACTGGGTGAAACTGTTGCACAGAGTTTGTAAGACTGCCAAGTTAGAAATATAGCAATGTCATTCTGATATTGTGAGTAGTGTTAATGTTTCAAAAGAGCCCAGGAAGCATTAATATAATTTCATGTATTCATCCCTAGAATATACACCTCTTTTTCAGAAATGAATTAGCAGTGATTTTTTTTTTCCATGTTTATAGTCTTATAAATTATCTCCTCAGATTTTCAGTTCATTCTGTCCACAGAACCTATATAGCCTGGCATAGAGTCTTTTGTACTGCTGATCACATTGTTTGAATATAAGTAAAACCCAGTATACATTTTTAATGATAGACATGTCTGCAAATGTGAATTCTCATTGTTCATTCTCTTTACACCTGACTCCATTTAACTCCCATATTTAATATATTTCAGATGAGTGAATTAAAATCTGATTGGATTAAAGGCAGTGAATGGTTTTCTGGCTCATCAGGGTTTATCTGCTATGTAATGTAGCTGGATTCTCCAGGGAGAGAGAACTTTGGTTTCCATCCTTTCTGAAGCATCGCTTCATACAGGTGATACCCACAGAATCATAAAACCATAGAATAGTTTGGGTTTGAATGGACCTTTAAAGGTCATCCAGTTTCAAACACAACTAAAGAACAGGGATATCTTCAACTAGATCAGGTATCTAGTCATAAAACTAGTGCAGTGGCTGGACAGTGTTTCAAGCTGTATATCATACTCCAAGTCTTAAATCCTGTTCTAGGAAATCTGAATCTTCTCTTTTTACCATAGACTAGCAAAGGTGTTCCTGGACTTTGTCTGGTGTGTATGTCACAGGTAAAAGAGGAAATGAAGAAGTGGATTGCTCTTGTATCTGCATCATTGCAGAGGAAATAATACATGTGGTGTTACTTAAAATGTCTAATGAGGCCTTCTGTAGTTATAGCTAAGTTTTTGTCCAAGATGCATTTTTACTGTCTCTTTTCTGAGATTGCCAGTTCTATGCCTGAGCTAAGCCAAGGGCCCAAGTTAGTGCATTTTCAGTTCAAAGTCATCTGCCTTTGTCTGAGTCACCACTAAAGGATTTATTTTTAAATTTTGAGTGGACTTTTCACTGAGGATGAGCAACATCCACAGTAAATAGTAAATGTGCCTCTGTTTTGCAAATTCAAGTGAACAGCTGGGCCAGTACTGCCTTAACCACAACTAGACGTGCAAGACCACATTATTCATGCCCAGACCTCAAGTTCCCATTATACAAACACGTATTTCTAGCCTCTGTTGGAATTGACTGTGTTCAGTCTGATTGAAATTGCAGGGCCTACTCACAAAAGCAATCTCTTCTATACATGTAAGTGTTTGTGAATGCTGGACTTTCAAAATGGGCTTCCTTGCTTTAATTGCAAACATAAATCTGAGTTACATTTCACAGATGGACACTGGCAACATGAGTTTATGTCATTTTCCTCTTCATGTAAAATATTAATGTCAGTCTCTGTGATGCAAAATAGCAAAACACTGAGTGCAGAAGCCATACAAATTTCATGTGGATTCCCAAAGGAATTTGACCCATCCTAGTGAGCACACTTTAGACTGATTATGTAGCTGTCAATTACATAGCTGTTCTGTGCACTGAGATCACTTGGACTGTATTCTTTATTGCAACCAAAATAAACCCACTGCAGTGGATTCTTTTTTCTCTACGAAACAAGTGAGTATTAAACATGTATAAGTAATCTTAAACACTGAATCTTTCTGCTCAGTTTTGTCAGTGACATACCCAGTCAATGTCCAAAGTTCGAAGCTGACAACAAAGGTACAGCTATAATTCTGCTTTGTGAGGTGAGGATTGTGACATTGTATAAACTTGGCTTTATGAATTATGAGATGCAATACTCATTTTGTATATATTATAGGATTGCATGACATTAACAGCCTTAGTCTCCATGACAATACCAGCAGAAGATATTGGATGAAAAAAAAATGGCTATGACGATTATGATTTAAGTAAATATCACAATACTTCCAAGTCTTGTTTAGTTATTAGAAGTTTCAGATACATGAGAAGTAACCAAAATATGCTTTTCCTTCTTCATCAAATTAGACAGCCAGTTTTCTCAGGCAGAGATTGCCTTTTTGCTACTTTTATGTAAAAACCAAAGCTAGTTAGACACTTGTGGGTGATGGGTTGCATCTGACCAAATGGACTTAGTGAGCCCTGGATTGCTTTTACAAAAAATAGTCACTCTAAAATGTAGCGGTTTTAGTCATAAGAAACCGACTGTATCCCACCCCAGAGTTTTTGGTTTTCCCTTTTGGTTACAGAGACACATACTACAAATGTGTGTGATAGGAATGTTAGCCATGCAGGCAGGAACAAGTTTGGTTGTGCAACCCCTTTCAGTAAACTACAAGCTGTATTTGTACAGTGCTTGTCACACCACTAATAAGGTGGATCTTGAATGTGCTCACGTTCGTATTACCAAGTGGACATGTAGGTATATATGCACTGGGACTTTAGCTCATTAACACCATTGCTATACAAACAAGAAATATAAATCATTTCACAGAAGGATCATTTCTCATGCACCTTTGTGTTTGAATTTCAGTTCTTTGTCTGGATCAATTCTTCATTTTCCCTTTCAGGACCATAGGTTCTCTGAAAAACAAAATTTCACCTCTGTATCAAAAAAAAAAAGTAAACCAAATATACCCATACAGTATAGCCACTGAAGGCAAGACCATATTGTCTGAGACAAAGAGATTTGAAAGGAGACCCTCATATTATTTTAGGCTAACCATGGATGCTTACTTTTTAATAAATAAAATGCCTAATTATAGCCTTAAGTTTATTTTTATCTATATAGCCTGGCCACTGGGAGAGTATTCTGGTACTACCACTCCATCAGTCACCTCACCAGTTCATATTTGCCAAATTATAAAATTGTAATTTTGGTGTAGTTTTAAATTCTTGTTGTTAAGTTAGTATCTGAGCTCTTTTTAATCTTTAATATATATATTCTCTCAGTTCTCACATTATCATCTGTGAGATAAAAAGTGCTATTTTTCTGCTCTTTTCTGGCATACCAGCTTGAGCAGAGATTGCAGAGTTTGCATTATGTAGCTCCCGCCTTGCAGTAGATGCTCCTTGTTCTGTTACTTCTCACCCCTCTTGCTCTCACCTTTCACAAGAGACGCATCCAAAAGAAGACCTCAGGCTGGAAGACTCGGGCTGTATGGCTCCATCTTTGTATAAGCATACTCTTAATCAGAATATTTTCTATTCTGATTTGCATCTACTGCTTTTGGACATCCAATCCCTGCCTGACAGCAAGTAAAGATATACTGTATGAACATCCTATTTAGGTGATCCCTAACGTGAGAAGTACCTAAATGTTCTAGCACCATATATGTATCAGCCAAGATGCCTGGATTAAGCAATGCCTGTACTGCATATGTTATATAGCTAAATACTAAATTCATTCCTAGAACAAGTCCACAGAGCATTCCTCACAGCTGATGCACCTGCGTGAGTTTAGTCTGCTATAAGATGACAGTGGTGTGGCCTCCCATAGCATTCTCTGTCTAGTCATCTAATGGTTTGCATATCAGTTTTGGTAAACAACACACTGAAGCTGACCATTTTTGTTTCCCTTTTGACAAAACAAACTCTTAAAATTTAGGGTTTTTTTAAATTGAAAGTCTGCTTTCGGCACAGCATTACTGAAAAGTAGAACATTCCATATTTTCAAAATATGTCCTTTAATATTTTCTTCAGAGTCAGCTTTTTTAATGGAAGGAATCCTAATCATGTTAGAAAAATAACAGCTGCCATTTGTTCAGTAGGAGCTTCATTTACACCAAATATAAACCAAATATATGGAGATAATTTTTCTTTAAGAATAATGCATTTGAGGCACAACTACCATTTCAGAGTAGCCCTAGGGCATTGTTAGGGAGCCTTATTCTTGGATTTCATTAACCAAATAAAACCTTTGCAGAAAGAGTAATTGCAATCATTCTGTATTAATAACTGTATTAATAAAGATGAAGGCTCAACTTATCCTCAAATTATCATCCCCAGTAGGTACCCTTGCTCCAGTGTCTATGACAATCTTTTTACATTTAGAACAAAATGGAAATGAGGTTCTATATTGAAAGCATTGGCAACAAGGTTCTTTCCTGTCCCTCAGCTGGTCATGAGCCCTTCAAAGTATCTTTAAGGTCTCTCTGTTCTCAAAGTTAATGGCTTGCCTACTGCAACCAGCACTGAAATCTGTGATAAACCCCAGCATGAGAGAGACAAGACGGTGGGTGTACAACTTCCAGTGAACACTGAACTCAGTATCATTCTCAAGTCAAACTCACTATTTTTATGTTTTATCAGCTATGTGTTCCAGGAAGCCAAACAGGGTCAAAATGAAACCAGATTGCCAGACAGTTGCAGAGAAAGATTAAAAAAAAAAAAAACAAAACCCAACAAAATAAATATATAGTTATTTTTTCTTAAACAAGGGCATAGAAAACATTTTGATTACCTACTTTTTAATGAAGATCTATGAGATTTCTTTTTTATTGTCATAGCTGTGAAAAAAATACCTTTCATAAATTATTGTAATTTTTCTTTAGAAAAATGAGTATCTCACACATTTGCATAAAAATAGTACTATTTTCAGAAAACATTTTTATTACTTTTTTTTTGGGGGGGGGGGGGGGAGGAAGTAATATTTTCCCCGAAATTTCTTTTTATAGTTCATTATTAAATTACCATAGGACAATTACAACTACATTTCTCAAATAATTGCTAATGGGCTCAGAGATATTCGGTAGAGACTGTTCCTTCAATTTCCCTTAGAATACAACACATGCTACATAACATCCAGCAAAAGTTAAGGCTATGCTGCCAATGTCCAAAATACTTATTAACTCTCCAGTGCATCAGCTGAGGAATTTAGGTGTTCTTAAACTTTTAGGAAATAAGCCTTTTCCCCCATTTCTACAACATTAAAGCTTTCTTGGGCTCAGTTCATGTGGAAACATCAAGATGGGGAATTAGCTCTCCAGCTGCCTTACATGTATGTTATTCCAGTCTCCCACAGCCTCTTGACTGCAACACACCCAAGACCACCTCACAGCTCTCCCCTGCACAAGAGTAAGTAGGATCATAGTCTGCTTAATGACTCAAGGAGTCATCTACATTAAACCCCTGTCTCCAAGCAGACTTAAAACTGAGTCATCTACTTTAGGAACTGCATAAAATATGCTGGAGGACATAAATAATTTGCACAGCTCCCAAAATTAGATTCTTTACTAGCTTGTCTTCCCTACAGAGAAAAAAACCCATCCTGCTCCACAGCTATCCCCAACCTGGGCTTAGAATACAGAGGTTTTACTTTTCTTAGTGTTCAGTGGTAGACAAGAAGCTGCCTGTCACTTATCTAATACAACCAGAAGCTAAAGAGTTAGACCTTGTTAATTTTATTCTAAAGCAAGAATGGAAAAATGAAATCAAAATATAAGAGTCTGCATTTGCAGTGAATGTGATGAAGATTATATCCAAAATGTGAAATCCCTTTCTGTATTCAAACATGTAAAAAAATCAAACGTTTATAAATCTGCATAAAAAATTACCTGACTAGCACGCACATATCAACACACATACAGGTAAACCACTGGAGAGAGGGAAGGTTCTGAGCTCACATCCCTACCCCAGTGGTTTGACATTTGTCGTCTCTTCTTACGCTCTTCTTCTTATCCCAAATTCCTTTTCTCTGCCCCTGATCCAGCACTCACTTGTGATCAGTGAAACTGTTTTCACTACTTGTAGGGGTGTCAAACTGAGTGCTTCAGATTTTCCTGACTGCATCCCTCCTCTTCACTGCTGCAGTGTTTTTCACTGTAGCAGTGAGCTTCCACTGTATAAAGTCTCAACTCCAATTAGTAATGTCAGCAATCTGAGATTCAGCAGGAAATATGAACACATCATGCAGTGTTTATATATAACTGTTCCCTGAAGCTGCATTAAAGTAAAAATCTCCCTGCTACGTGCAAATTTTCAAACTTAGGTATATCTATTTTTTCTAGAATGATCAGAATTAAGTTAGTGCAGAACCTCATACTTTATTGTTAACATCTCAGACTTGTAAAGGAATATGAATTTCATGTAATGGCATTATTATTTGCATCTAACTTTTCTGGGGACTCTTACCTGTTTTCTCCCAAATGTCAGACTAATCCAAATCAACCAGCAGAATACTGCAATGATCACTAGCATCAAGCAGGTCAAACATTAGAGAAAGCAGAGTCTTCTTAGTCTTCTCCACTGACAGTAAAACATGTTGAAATTCTGAGTGCCTATTTATCAACAAAGACTGCATTTCACAGTGGAAATGCACAGATAACAGGATGATAATGAAACTCACTATTGAAGGGTATGGAAAAAAAAAAGCTTTATAAATGCACAAGGATATTTCCAGTGCTTTCAGAAACTAACTACTGTATTTTCAAATTGTCATAGGCCAAAATACTGTATAATCTAATGTCTTGATGTTGCAAATACTTCTGTACATGTGGTTCCTTACTTCACTTTCATGAATACGTTTATGCAGCTTTGGGTGCTGAAGTTAAAAACTGACTGAAATAGGAGTCTGAATAATACTTGGACTTACACATGTAGGAAGCATCTTCCAGGAAATCTTAATTCACTGTCCTGTAGAAATCCAAAGGCTTTAGTGCCAATAAACTCTATCCTCAAAATAAAATCAAACTTAAAAAATTTCTTAGTCATACAATATGCTTGCTTTCTTCAGTATATAAGAAATTCTATATATTAATATCTTGCAACCTTTTCCTTACAGAAAAGAAGTTATTTAATCTAGAAAAAATGTTAATTGTTTCTACAATACAAGTTGCTGTGTTTTAATTATTCTACTAGATGAGACAAATGTGTTCGACACATGTGCTAAGCAAAGCTTTGGATAGTGCATTCATGCATAGAAAATGAACATATCCCTTGAGAACAAATGCATCATTCTGCCCCATTCCTGTTACAAGGAAAAGGAATAGATTTTTGCTGTGGCCTAATTAACAGAAACAGCAGCAGCAGTTACAGCATTTTAACATTTCAGCACCTGCTAAGCTGGGAGAAACTGGTTAGAAAGAGTACATTGCTTCTTAAGATTTAAGGAGTAGACACAGACAACAAAAAGATGAAGAACCCGATACAAAGTCTGAATGACCACTGAATTCATCAGGTTTAGATCAGGCATAAGGAGAAGTGCATCAGCAGCGTTAAATCTGTAAGTGATGTTTGCTGGCACACCACGCGGAAATGCACACTTTGCTTCAGATATTCAGAAAAACATTTCAGTATCACATTACACTCTACTTTTCTTCTCACAACTGTAATAAACAAATTATTCAATTTAATGAGTACGAGTTAGGGTGAAAATATCTGCCTATTTGTTTTGACTGGAAATGTTTCCAGAATAAATTAATGCCACATGATATTATCAGTGTAGAGCATTAAAAACATCTTTTAAGAATTGCATTTGCAAGCTCATGTTTGCATACAAGTTAGAATGGAAAAGTGCTCATGCAAAGGCAGACTTTGTAACAATGTTCAAACACTTTTGAAATCCTATATTTAGGAGTTAGATA